TGGTGGGATTATAAAATGGTGCCACCAATTTGGCAAACAGTTTGGTAGTGTCTCAAAATGTTCAACATAGAGTTACCACATTATCCAGTAAATCCACTCCTATGTACAAACTCGAATTACAAACAGCTATTCACATCAAAACCTGTACATGAATATAGCAGCACTATTTACAAAAGCCAAGAAATAGTAGTAATACAAATGCCCATCAGTTGATAGATGGGTAAACAAAGTGTGGCACATCCATACAATAGAATTATTTAGCCATAAAAAGGAATAAAGGCAGTACTGGTCCATGCTACAATATGGATAAACCTTGAAAGCATTATGTTAGGTGAAAGAAGCAATCACAAAAAAATTACACAGTGTATGATTCTATTTATATAAAACATCCAGAAGAAGGCAGATCCATAAAGAAAAAGTAGATTGGTGGGTGCCAGGGACTGACAGAAGGGAAAATAGTGACTGCTAATCAGTATGGGGTTTTTTCTTTGTGGTGGAAAAAAGTTCTAAAATTAGATTGTAGAAATTGTTGCAAAACTGTGACTATACTCAACTCCACTATATTGTATACTTCATTTTTTTATTTTAATTATTTTTATTTTTTAATTTTTATTACTTTTATTTTTTATTTTTTGTATGTTTAGTAGAGATGGGGTTTCACCATGTTGGCAAGGTTGGTCTTGAGGTCAGCAGCTCAAGTGATCAGCCAGCCTCGGCCTCTCAAAGTGCATGGATTACAGGCGTGAGCCACCATGCCCGGCCTGAATTGTATACTTTAAAAGGGTAAATTTTATGGTGTGTAAATTACATCTCTGTAATGCTGTTAAACCAATTAACAATATACACCGAAGGTTCTAAAGAGGAATGTGAGGTGGTATTTTTCCATAACAGCATCAAGTTCTATTTAATGTCAGCCCTCACTCACTAAATATATCTCAGTACACATGACTGATAGGTGAATTAACTGAACAGTAAACAAGAAGTGAAATCTGTCTAACATCAATAAAAACAGACCTGGAACTAATCTTTTATCTTGGAAAGCAATTGCTTAAGCTTAAAGACTCCAGAAAGAAATCTACAAGACAGAAACAGCCAACTATTGTTCCCATCCTCAAATTTCAATGGGAAATGCAAGAAAATTAGAATTATCTGGCTCAAGTTACTAGAAATCACACAGTTAAATCTATTTGTGTTCCGGGAAAAAATTGGAAATAATCTATATTTGCATCATAAGTTAAAATTTATATCTATCTATGCTGTTATCAATTATCTAAAATCTAACTTTGAGAATGGTTACAAAGGTCTTCAAATACTGTTTGTGTTCAACTTAGCCGTGAGACAATCAGCTTATAAAAATATACTATTTTAAGATACAACAAATATATTGAATTAAATTTGTCTTGGCATTTGTCTGGCATAGATTACTGAGAAAACTGTATGCATTCTGGAGCTTTCTATTAATATTACTACTAATAAAACCTACCCAACATTTATTGCTGCTTTTAGCCAGTACCAAGTGAAATGCTGGGAATGCCAGTGATGAAGAGAATATATTAATAGGAGATGATCTTCAGAGTCTAACAAAATGGTGGGAAAGATGATTATAAATCAATAGTTCTAAAAATGTGACAAATGTTATAACAGAAGGGAGTTTCAGGAACTCTGTCTGAATGATACCAATTCCAATTGCAGGGTTTTCTGACTGTTTTTATACCTGTAAGATCTTATAACTCTCCAGAAATGGTGTTCAGTCAATATCTGTTGAATTGAAACTCAAAGGCAGGCTTGACATTATTAAAAAACAGAAAATAAAACAGGAAATTAAAAATAGAAAGCAAACTAGAAATACCATTTGACCCAGCCATCCCATTACTGGGGATATACCCAAAGGGTTATAAATCATGCTGCTATAAAGACACATGCACACGTATGTTTATTGCGGCACTATTCACAATAGCAAAGACTTGGAACCAACCCAAATGCCCATCAATGACAGACTGGATTAAGAAAATGTGGCACATATACACCACGGAATACTATGCAGCCATGAAAAAGGAGGAGTTCATGTCCTTTGTAGGGACATGGATGAAGCTGGAAACTAACATTCTGAGCAAACTATTGCAAGGACAGAAAACCAAACACCGCATGTTCTCACTCATAGGTGGGAACTGAACAATGAGAACACTTGGACACAGGAAGGGGAACATCACACACCAGGGCCTGTCATGGGGTGGGGAGATGGGGGAGGGATAGCATTAGGAGATATACCTAATGTAAATGATGAGTTAATGGGTGCAGCACACCAGCATGGCACATGTATACATATGTAACAAACCTGCACGTTGTGCACATGTACCCTAGAACTTAAAGTATAATAATAAAAAAAAAAAAGAAAAACTATTATATAGTTTAAAAAACTACCCAAAGAAATGTCTCACAACTCATTTTGTGGTGAACTCTTTAAGAAAAAGCCACTTATGAATTTGCCCTGGAAAATAACAAAGGTATCGAATTGTAGTAGATTTTACTAAAGGCCTGAGACCACTCTCTCTGGGAAATATGTTAACTTTAGAATCAACAAAAACTGACTCTCCCTGTTTAAGGGTTAGTCTGTAAATGTATGCAACAACCATATTCACTTATCTCTAAGGTTGAAACTGTAAATTCAAAATCCAGTGATTATTCAAAATTTGTTCATTAATTCATCTGTTTTTTGCCATTTCCAATTTGTTTTTCTACTGGACCTGATCAAGTGATCCATGCTTGGCATGTAATGTCACTCTGCGACCCTCTGGATTAAAGGTTCCTTGGCAAATTTTGTATTGCACATTGGGAATTCTCCTTGGCCTCCTGGTCTTACAGGGTCATCTTGAGATGAATTAAAAATGTCTATATAATTTATATTTTGTTAGTAAAATGCCCTATAATATGCTACTTGCTACTCCATTCTTGACCTCCTCCATACAAAAAAGTTATTTTAGCTCTAGCCGATCAACATCCTTCATAGTCTATTTTCTGCTCTTCACATTTATGTGAATTTGTTATTTAAGACAACTTGAACTTTGTCTTTTCTTTCTATTGTTACACTTCTAAATTTTCTGCTGGGGCCTTCATTTGAACAGGCAAAAAGGATAAAATTCACTTTAATTTATCTTCAATAAAATGCTGTTTAGTGACATAAAAGTTGTTGGCCTAAAAGCACTGATATCAACCAAGGTCGAAATAGCAATATTAAATTGGGAGCATTACTTAGAGAAGTTGATCTGAACATCAGGAGAATTTCAGAAGCTTGCTTCAAATAAAAATTCTAAGATCTCATCTCAGATCCAGTGGATAAGATCCTGGGTGGGGACAGGGGACACTGTAAATCTGTACTGTAAACAGGCTTCCTAGCCAATTTTTTTTTTTTGAGACGGAGTCTCCCTCTGTCACACAGTCTGGAGTGCAGCGGTGCGATCTTGGCTTACTGCAAGTTCCGCCTCCTGGGTTCAGGTCATTCTCCTGCCTCAGCCTCCCGAGTAGCTGGGACTACAGGTGCCTGCCACCATGTCCGGCTAATTCTTTTTTGTATTTTTAGTAGAGTCGGGGTTTCACCATGTTTGCCAGGATGGTCTCCATCTCCTGACCTTGTAATCCGCCCTCCTTAGCCTCCCAAAGTGCTGGGATTACAGGCATGAGCCACCATGCCCAGCCCCTAGCCGATTTTTAAGTACAGTAAGTCCTCACTTAATGACATCAACAGGTTCTTGAATACTAAGACTTTAAGTGAACTGATGTATGATGAAAACAATTTTACCATAGGCTAATTGATATAAATGAGAGTTAAGTTACTATGGCTTATTTCTGGTCACAAAAACAGCATCAAAATTCTAAAGACCAAAACACTTTGAATATTAAACATTGAAACAAATGTGAGCTATACATACATTTAAGAAAGACTAATAAAAACAAGTAAAATAATTATTTACCTTCTTACTCCAGTTCAGGGTCATAGGTGGCTGGAGCTCCTCGCAGCCGAGAGCCCCATGCACAGGATGACATCCCATCGCAGGGCACTCACACTCACTCACACTGGGACCACACACAGATCTGCCAGTTCGTTTCACTTGCACAGCTTTGAGATGTGGGAGGAAACAGGAGTACCCGGCAAAAACCAACACAGACAGGTGGAGAATGTGCAGACTCCACACACACAGTGGCCCCAGCCGGAAATCAATTGTTTTTTTTCTTATCAACATGATAACGAATGGGCATTGAACAAAACAATGTTGTTGAAGGATCTACTGTACTACAGTTTGAGGACTAGGACTGTAGGCCCAGATATTTACGTTGCCCCTTTCCAGTACATCTCTGGATAGCTGTGGCATGTGCCCAGCTGGGTGGTGGACTGGGAAGGTGAGGGTGGGTGGAGGGTGTGGCTAATGGTTCTTAGCAGAGTCAGAGGCCTGAAGCTGTTCAGGGAGCACTGTGCTGTTGTGTGGGCCTCTTGCCCACTTGCCCCAACCAGGTACAGCAGCTCTGCTTTTGTCTGATCTATACACTGAGATTCCCTCAGATTTATCTCATCAAAGGGTTCTGCTAAAGACAAATCTGAAAAATCAATGTAGGGCATTGAAAATAGGCTAATAGGCTCTGGTGTCAGAAGAGCTGGGTGCTGGCGCCTCTCTTGGCATGCCTCATCTGATGGGTTTTTTGCTAGTAGGTAAGGTCGATACCTTCATTTGCAAAATGGTTACAACCCCATACCTAGCTTACGGGGTGATTGAGGGAATCAAATCAGATAACTCAAGGTATCTGACACAAGGAATGATAATCAAGATTTATTATGTTTGAGGGTACGACTGCGCATAAGGGTAGACACATTTTAACTCTTCGCGTTATGGGACAGAACCACTGTAATTCATTTTTGCCCAATACAAGATCACACTTAAACATTCCAACTTAATAAAGAGCCTTTGGAGGAAGAAGGAGAAGGGGAGGAGAAAGGGAAAACAACTCACCGATACAAATGCTTGAGATTTGGTTTCATTCAACTGAAGTTGCAATTTCTTTTCATTGTCATAGACCCCATAGAGTCTTTTGGACCAGGTTTGAGGCACTCTGCTTTTGAATTTTAATGAACTATATAGAGCAAATATCCTTTGTAAGTCTAGGACCAGGCAGCTGCAGTTGTAGAAGATGACACCGAGTTCTTTCATCTGTGAAATTAAAATTGAAAGCATCAATGCCACATGTGTCTTACGCTGTTATTTTCAGAAAAAAAATGAATGCATAAGAATGAGGTAGTTATGACATCTCTTTTCTTGCATTTGAAGTAAGTAGATGTGGTTACATTATGATACATAGAGGTGACATGTTACAAAAATGCTAAATATTCAAGTAAAATTTTGCTGGTTTTTTTTTGTAGTAGGTCTCTTGCAGATAATTTTCTTATATTCATCTATACTTTTCATATCATAAAAAAATAGTGTTTCCTTAACACTATTTTGTTTTGTATGAATCATTAAATCAGGTGGCAAGAAAAAGGTCGATTTTAATTGCAACATAACAGAATGGCTGGAATCATGGATTCTGGAGTCAGACTGCCTGGATTTAGGTTCTGTTAATAGCTCCACAACTTTCTAGCTGTGCGACTTTGAACAACATACTTAATTTCTGGGCCTCAGCTTCTTCTTCCATAAAATAGAGATAATAGTATTTATTTCATATGTTGCTATGAGAATTAAAGTGGTTAATACATATAAGAAGCTAAGAACAGTGTCTATCACATGGTAATCACTAGCAGTATGTTAGTAATTATTATTCTTATTAACGTTCCACAAGCCTTAAGAGTAATAGACCAATAGAATCTTAAAAGACCACAGAGATCATTTTGTCCACCTCTCTCAAGGGATGGATGAGGAAAGTAAAGCTCACACAAATAAATAAAAATATTAGCCCCAAGTTAGAGATTTAGTCAGTGGTAAATTAAGAATTGAGTGCAGGTTTTCTGACCCCTAATCAAATACACTCAGGAACACAGCTATACTGGCTTCAGTTGAGTCCAGTATCGCTTTGCAAAAATTACAGATGATTTTTAATTTAGTCAATGAAACTATACAATGTGAAATTTTGGTCATTAAGGAACAGCACACAAAAATACATGCTTTCTATGACTTGAACACCCAGTGAGGGGTTATTAGGGAAACCTTGGCTCTCTCAAGTCCTGGGGTCCACTGATAGTAAACTCCCTTTTTACCCCTTCCTTAAGCCCCTCGCCAAGACTCTTTACTCAGGATGATAGGAGAGGTCGTCTACCATGTATGAACCTATCTCTCTTTGCTCTGAGGACTTCCCAGTACAACATGCCCTGAGATCTTTCCATGTTCCTCTGTACAGATCTGTCATCCTTTTCCAGCTCCCCGGTAACCACAGGATAGATGGACACAAGTTGTTTAACCCACTGATGGACTTCATCCCTATACTTTCCCTAATGCAAAAAATAAAACAATGAGCATCCCGTATACCTTTGTGTGCCTTTAATAGAGACTCCTAGAATGAAATGTACAGACACATTAAGGACTATTCGTGGTTAAGTGAAAGGAGATAGAGCAGGTAGGACATATCAGGCATGTGCAAAGGCACGGAGGCTAACCAAGGAGGTGAAAGACCTCTACAAAATACTGCCAAAAGAATAGATGACACAAACAAATGGAAACACATCCCATGCTCATGGATGGATAGAATCAATATCGTGAAAATGACCATACTGCCAAAAGTAATCTACAGATTCAATGCAATTCCCATCAAAATACCACCATCCTTCTTCACAGAACTAGGAAAAACAATTATAAAATTCATATGGAACCAAAAACAGCCCGCATAGCCAAAGCAAGACTAAGCAAAAAGAACAAATCTGGAGACATCACATTACCTGATTTCAAACTATACTATAAGGCCATAGTCACCAAAACAGCATGTTACTGTTATAAAAATAGGTGCATAGACCAATGGAACAGAATAGAGAACCCAGAAATAAGCCCAAATACTTACAGCCAACTGATCTTTGACAAAGCAAACAAAAACATAAAGCGGGGAAAGGACACCCTATTCAACAAATGGTGCTGGGATAATTGGCAAGACTGTAGGAAAATGAAACTGGATCCTCATTTCTCACCTTGTACAAAAATCAACTCAAGGTGGATCAAGGACTTAAATCTAAGACCTGAAACCATAAAGATTCTAGAACATAACATTGGAAAACCCCTTCTAGACATTGGCTTAGGCAAAGATTTCGTGACCAAGAACCCAAAAAGCAAATGCAATAAAAACAAAAATAAATAGCTGGGAGTTAATTAAACTAAAGAGCCTTTGCACGGCAAAAGGAACAGTCAGAAGAATAAACAGACAACTCACAGACTGGGGGAAAATCTTCACAATCTATACATCTGACAATGGACTAATATCAAGAATCTACAATGAACTCAAATTAGCAAGAAGAAAACAAACCCCATAAAAAAGTAGGCTAAGGACATGGATAGACAATTCTCAAAAGAAGGTATGCAAATGGCCAACAAACATATGAAGGAATGCTCAACATCACTAATGATCAGGGAAATGCAAACCAAAACCACAATGTGATACCACCTTACTCCTGCAAGAATGGCCATAATCAAAAAATCAGAAAATAATAGATGTTGGTGTGGATGTGGTGAACAGGGAACCCTTCTACACTGCTGGTGGGAATGTAAACCAGTACAACTACTATGGAAAACTGTGGAGATTCCTTAAAGAACTAAAGTAGAACTACCATTGGATTCAGCAATCCCTCTACTGGTATCTACCCAGAGGAAAAGAAATCATTATACGAAAAAGATTCTTGCACATGCATGTTTATAGCAGCACTGTTTGCAACTGCAAAAATGTGGAGCCAACCCAAATGCCCATCAATCAACGAGTGGCTAAAGAAACTGTGGTATATATGCATATGTTGGAATACTACTCAGCCATAAAAAGGAATGAACTAATGGTATTCACAGCAACCTGGATGGGATTGGGGCCTATTATTCTAATGGAAGCAACTCAGGAGTGGAAAACCAAACATCATATGTTCTCACTCGTAAGTGGGAGCCAAACTATGAGGATGCAAAGGCATAAGAATGATACAATAGATTTTGGGGACTAGCGAGAAATGGGGGAAAGGAAGGGGGTGAGGGACCAAAGGTTACAAATTGGGTTCAATGTACACTGCTTGGGTGATGAGTGCACCAAAATCTCACAAATCACCACTGAAGAACTTGTGTAATCAAATACCACCAGTTGCTCAAAGACTTATGGAATATAAATAAATAAATAATAAATATAACTAAATCAATGCTATTCAAGCCTAGTAGAGCCAGAGATAGGCTCCCATGAAAGTAGATATCAAGGGAATCATTTGACTTTTGAGTCCAAAAGGCAAATTCAGTGGCCATAATTCACTTTTACTATGTTCAGATCTCTTTGATTTCCTTTGGTGTCTCCACATCAGACCCGTGGTGTTTTCAGGTTGTTTGCTTGCACATGGCAAACATTAATGCTTGGAAAACTATTCAAAGCTTGGATGAGAATATGCTATTTAAAGTCGGGCATGGGAGGATTGTTTGTTCAAAAGCAGTCTGGGCAACAGAGTGAGACCCTATCTCTACAAAAAAAAAAAAAAAAAAAAAGAGCTTGGTGTGGAGGCACAAAACTGTAATCCCAGCCACTTGGGAGACCAAGGTGGGAGGATCTCTTGAGCTCAGGAGTTCAAGGCTGCAGTGAACAGTGATTGCCCTACTGCACTCTAGCCTGGACAATAGAGCAAGATCCTGTCAGAAAGGAAAGAAAGAAAGAGAAAGAAATAAAACCATGCTATTTCCCTATCCACCTTGTTTCTCAGGAGTATTTGTCTGCTAATCTTCATGTGGACGTTTGCCCTCTCTACTGAGGCTGGGGCAAATGAAAGCCAAAGGCAGTGGCTGTGGATCAAAGCAGCTGCCCCTCCCACACTCCCTGCTGACTTTCTCCTGATGTGTAGAATGATATTAAATGAAGTAGTCACAGCACGTTCAGGCTGCTATTGAAGACGAAAATCAAGCAAACAAAAACAACTATTGCAAGCTCCACCGATCTGAAGAAAGACACCTGCTCTTCAATATGATAGGACGCGATTATTCTGGATAACTTTTATTTTGAAAATTGACACCCAGAAGAGTACCAGGATGCCAACTCTGATAGCTCCTCCCTGGCCAGGGGGCACAGGAACTAGAGAGAGACCATTATGGCCTAGTTAGGACATAGCAAGTCACCTATGGAGCAGGCTGTGGAGACAGACTAGGCAAGGCACTTCAGCTCTTCACTTTCTCCATCCAAAGATTGGTATATTTCATAAGATTGCTGTGAAGAATAAATGAAAAGGTGCAGGCAAATATTAGCTCAGTGCCTGGCTCAAACCACATTAGCTAATGGAAAATTGGGAAAAGTAACATAAAAATGCTTCTGTAATGGCACCATAATTCTGAGTGATGTTTGACCCTTTAGGTAGGATCAGATGGAGGGAAGAATATGAACATTCTCACCATGTGTCTACCCCAAGACTCTCCTTATAAACCACTGATCACCATCAAGATGCAAGTGGGCACCGTCTCCCTGGGCACTGCCTAGATTTTCTCCGGTTTTTAATAACTTTATTCTAAACAAAGATTTAGTGTTGCATTTCCCCTGTCGCATAAACTAAGCTGCAGGCTTGCTGTGAGGTTTTATTTGCAACCCCTGACATCATTCCATTCTGTGGCTACATTACAGCTTTAGGAGCTGGAGGAAGGGAGGAGGCCAACCACTGCCTTCTAGAGATGTAAAGAGAATTAAATTTCCTCCGAATATCTTCCTCTCTACCCTAGAATGACTCAAGCCCATTTCTAGTTTTACATATTAGTTCAGGCTGCTGTTGACGATGGAAAACAAACAAACAAACAAAACAACAGAACAAAACTGGCTTTTGTTTTGCAGCTTTTTCACCCAGAGCAAGAAATTCAGGACAGATTTATGACAAGTTTTAAAATGCTGGCAATGGGAAAAATAATATAGAGTTCTGGGCTTCTGATGAATTTCTATGTCTAGATTATCAAAGGGAAAAGAAGCTGAAGGTCTGATTGATTTGCTGACAAATTCTTAATTTTTAAAAATAAATGTAAGGGGT